ATGGTGCCGTTCCGTTTCGTCTGGCACAGAGCGTGTGGCGCTGGTGTGCTTTGGCGGTGTCGTTCATCGATCGATGGATCGATGGATGGGGCACGCTGTTCCTCGCTGATGTCTTCCGTCGTAGCTTCACTCAGAACGCGCGGACTGTGTCGTGAAAGTGGGTGCTTGTTGCTGGCGTCTCGTCGGGATGGTCTCCTGACACCGCCCGTGATCACGAGGGACACAGCAGGGATGACAGGGGGTTCACTCCGACAGGCGAAATGTCGGGAGAACAGGGCTCGCGCGTTGCACTTTAATATTGGGGGGGGGGGGGGGGGGGGGAGGAAATCAGTTCTCCTGAGTGCATTACAGCACGGTTATGTGTAACAGGAGATAGGTCTGAAACCCCCTCTCCTATCTACCTCATTTGAATGCATCTTTAATATATTTTTTATTTTCATTTGAAGCTTTCGTGACTGCAGGAATCCATACTCCTTGGTTCTTTCGGTCAAGTCACGTATTTTATTTTGTTTTATACCGACGTGACTTTACCGAAAGAACCAAGGAGTATATATTTTTTTATTATTATTCTGATCTGAAAAAAATGTTTGCTTCCCATGCCCGAGTTGTACTTGTAATGGAGGTTTATTACGTAAGACCGTGTCGTGTGTCCATGCGTAATGCTGGACGCGGTAGAGCGTTGGCGAAGTGAGGTTGCATTCACATCTGCCATACAACTTTGGCCACACCATCCTCGCGTCTGATTGATGGGTCCATGCTGTGGTCTTGGAAACTTGGTCCAACATGGCAGAATTCTTTATTCGCTCGCAACTATTGACCCGCGGCGCACCACGGGGAGGGATACGATGGACGGAAGAAGAAATGAGAATGGGTAAGAGGGAAGAGGAAGAACGGTGGGTCGGTGGACATTTTATGGGTTATTGAAGAATTCAATTCTGGAGCGAAGGGGGTGAGGGGGAGAATGAATGACCGGACCGAGATGTCGGGGATGAGAGGGGAGGGATGGGAGGGATGAGAGGAGAGGGGAGGGAGGGAGGGGAGGGAGGGGAGGGGAGGGAGGGAGGGAGGGAGGGGAGGGAGGGGAGGGAGGGGAGGGATGGGAGGGGAGGGAGGGAGGGAGGGAGGGAGGGGAGGGAGGGGAGGGAGGGAGGGGAGGGAGGGAGGGGAGGGAGGGAGGGAGGGAGGGAGGGGAGGGAGGGAGGGAGGGAGGGAGGGAGGGAGGGAGGGAGGGAGGGAGGGAGGGAGGGAGGGAGGGAGGGGAGGGAGGGAGGGAGGGGAGGGAGGGAGGGAGGGAGGGGAGGGAGGGAGGGGAGGGAGGGAGGGAGGGAGGGAGGGGAGGGGAGGGAGGGAGGGAGGGAGGGAGGGGAGGGAGGGAGGGAGGGGAGGGGAGGGAGGGAGGGAGGGGTGGGGAGGGGTGGGAGGGGTGGGAGGGGTGGGAGGGGTGGGGAGGGATGGGGAGGGATGGGGAGGGATGGGAGGGATGGGAGGGATGGGAGGGATGGGAGGGATGGGAGGGGTGGGGAGGGATGGGAGGGGTGGGGAGGGATGGGAGAGATGGGAGGGGAGGGATGGGAGGGATGGGAGGGATGGGAGGGGAGGGATGGGAGGGATGGGATGGGAAGGGAGGGATGGGAGGGGAGGGATGGGAGGGATGGGAGGGGAGGGATGGGAGGGATGGGATGGGAGGGATGGGAGGGGAGGGATGGGAGGGATGGGAGGGATGGGAGGGGAGGGATGGGAGGGATGGGAGGGGAGGGATGGGAGGGATGGGAGGGGAGGGATGGATGGGAGGGGAGGGATGAGCAAGAAGCCAGCTGCAGAAAGCAGCTTCTGTTTTCAAAGTGGGCGGGGAGAGTGGAGGGATTGGGGAGGGGGGGTCCACACACAAGTCACGTGGCTTGCGGGAGGCTTGAACCGATTCAAATGTCGCGTGGTGGCCGTGAAACACTGGGTAAGCGGATTGCGCTGTAGAGTCTTTATCGGGTTAAATAAAAACCGTCGTGTTCCGTGTGGCCGCCTCATTGCAGTGGGCGGCTGTGTGGTGAGGGCGGACACGTGGCGGTCTGACGCGCCGCGTTCGCGTGACCAACCCGAGCCACAAACTAAAGACAAAGACCACCCCCCCCCCCCGTGTAGCTCTGTGAGCCGCCGTCGTATCAGCGAATGCTGAAGAACTCCTCGTTGTTGTTTGCAGATTGATGCACGCAACGCACACACACACTCCTCGTCTCTGTCGCCTTGAGGGTAGGAGGAGGATGAGGATGTTACCGAGCCAGGGATACACACAACAAGGGGGGGTCAGCTGCGTCAGGGATTAGTTGAAGCGGATTCGTGGTGGGGGGATGGGGGGTGGTTTTGTGTGTTCTTGTTGAGGTGGTGGGTGCGGGTGGGTTGTGGCTTGCGAGCCGATGGTTTTTTTTATTTGAGACGAGAGAGATAACTGGAGCGTTGTTAATGATAATTCGTGGCCGTGTGGCTGTGTGCGTGTGAGTCTCTCTGTGTGTGTGGCTGTGTGTGCGTGTGAGTCTGTGTGCGTGTGAGTCTCTGTGTGTGTGTGGCTGTGTGTGTGAGTCTGTGTGCGTGTGAGTCTCTGTGTGCGTGTGAGTATCTGTGTGCGTGTGTGTCTGTGTGCGTGTGAGTCTCTGTGTGTGCGTGTGAGTCTCTGTGTGTGTGTGGCTGTGTGTGTGAGTCTGTGTGCGTGTGAGTATCTGTGTGCGTGTGTGTCTGTGTGCGTGTGAGTCTTCGTGCTTTCGGAGTCCCTGACCCTCTGCTCACGATCATTAAGGACCTTCATGATGGTGAGCGGGCCCGGGTAAAACTACGTGGCCGGGAGTCGGAGCCTTTCCCTGTACACCTTGGGGTGCGACAGGGATGTCCTCTGGCTCCCACATTATTTAACATCTATTTTGACCGCGTAGTTCGTGAAGCCTTCAATAGCTGTACCGGGGGAATTTCCGTTTGGTACAGATATAATGGGAGGCTGATCGACGCCCGGGTGCGATCAAGGGATGGCTCCCTATTGGTCAACCACGTTATGTATGCCGATGATTTGGTAATAGCTGCTCATTCAGAAGAGGAGTTGGAGGCGCTGCTGCTGAGACTGGAGCGTGCCACTAAGAGGTGGGGCCTTACCATCAGCCCCACCAAAACCAAGCACCTGCCTGGGTATTTTGTACCATCGGACACTCCACCCCCACAACTCCCAATTGGTGATGGGGCAGTTGTGGAGAGAGTGGAGAGTTTCCCATACCTGGGCAGTGTGCTTATGACCGGCTCCAGTCTATCAGCAGAGGTCTCACTCCGAATCAGTCGAGCGGCAATATCTTTTCATCGGTTGCGTAACGCTGTGTGGAAGCTACCTGGTCTGTCGCTCCGCACGAAGCTTCAGGTCTTCTCGGCCACGGTCATTCCCTCCCTTCTCTACGCTTGCGAGACGTGGACCCCCCTGGTGGAGCATCTTCGCCGGTTGGAAACATTTAGGCTGGCCTGCCTACGATCCATCCTGGGTTTAACCAGGCTGGATTGTGTGAGGAGCTCACAAATCCTTGAAAGATCTGGGCAAAGTCCCATCAGTGAGCTCCTCCGGCAGGCAAGGCTGCGTTGGCTGGGTCATGTAGCCCGCATGCCCAGCCACCGCATGCCTAAACAGCTTTTGTTCGGCCGGATCGAGGGGGCTAGACGGGCGCGGCACGGGCTGGAGAAGAGATGGAGTGATGTGGTACAGGAGGACGTGGAGCTGAGTGGACTTGCCGATGACTGGTACCAGCGGTGTCAAGATCGGCCTCAGTGGAGGAGGCTCGTGAAGGACGCTACTGGGCAGTTGGAGGCAGTCGCCCTCCAACAACAACGGAGGGCGGAGGAGCGACGCTCACAACAACGAGCGGAGCGCCGGGTGGCTAAAGCACAGCAAGTTGGCACAGTAGGGGGCACAGGTGGTGCATCAGCCAGTCATCTCGGTCATCTCGGTCAGTCGACCAGTGGCACCTGGGTCTGCCCCGTGACCTCCTGCCAGGGGGCTTTCGACACTTCACGTGGCCTCAAGGTGCACTTGGCCTGGCACAAGCATCGTGGTGACGTCACCGCCACTTAGTGGCGAATGGCGGTTGTTGTTGTTGTGTGAGTCTCTGTGTGTGTGAGAGTCTCTCTGTGTGTGTGGCTGTGTGTGTGAGTCTGTGTGCGTGTGAGTCTCTGTGTGCGTGTGAGTCTGTGTGCGTGTGAGTCTCTGTGTGTGTGAGAGTCTCTCTGTGTGCGTGGCTGTGTGTGTGAGTTTGTGTGTGTGAGTCTGTGTGTGTGTGAGTCTCTGTGCGTGTGAGTCTGTGTGTGTGTCTGTCTGTGTGTGTGGGTCTGTGTTTGGCAGCAGTAACATAGTGGGGGGTACAGCTGGTGGTGGTGCATCTGCCGGTCATCTCAGTCACCTGCTGGGTCTGTCCCGAGACCTGTCAGCAGCGAGCCTTCGACACTTCACGTGGCAGCCTCAAAGTGCACCTAGCCTGGCACAGGCGCCGTGGTGACGTTACCGTCATTGGCTGCTTTTGGTAATGTTGGTGGTGCTGCTTTTGGGGAGCGGTGGTGTAGTGGTCAGCGCTACGCTGCGCTACGAACCCGGCGGCCCGGGTTCGATTCCAGCTCACGGGCAACACCGGTGACGATTACCTGAACCGGTCCTGGGCCTCCCCTAGGTCGACTCAGCCTCAAATGAGTAAACGTCGCCACTGGGGAGACAAAGGTGGCCGGGCGTGGTGCTGGCCACCTACCCCCTCGTGTGCCGTGCCGGCCTTCATAGGTGCTGCTCGCTAACAGCACTTGCCCCAACATTCTGTCAAGGCTATACGGGGGATCTTTGTCTTGTGTATGTGCGCGTGTGTGTCACAGGCGCGTGTGCGTCTCTGTCAGTGTGCGTCAAGAAGAGCCTCTAACTGTGCCCCAACATTGTTCGCCTGCCGCCTGTGAATGAAGGCGGTGACCGTAATGCGATGATGTCTCTCTCTCTTCTTTTGCAGTCGGCGGCGGCGTCCGATGGAGGTACGAACATCGCCGCAACACGCACGCACACAAAGACAAAGGTGCCCCGTGTCGCATTAACACTGGGGGGGCAAGTGCTGTTAGAGAGCAGCACCCATGAAGGATGGCACGGCACACGGGGGGGGGGGAGAAGCACCACAGTCGGCCGCCTTTGTCTCCCCAGTGGTGATATTTACTACACACCGAGACAGGTATTAATTCGAAGCTGAGTAGACCTAGGAGAGGCCCAGAACCGGTTAGAATAATTGTCATTAGTGTTGGCCGGGTTCGTAGCGCAATGTGCTCCCCACTGCACGCACGCTCCCCACAATGGATGACACACAGACACACATTAACACGTAACGAGAAGATCGCACGCACAAAATACAGTCCCTACAATATGCAAGACGTGCAAGACACAAACCCACGGCGAGACGTAGCAAAGATGTGTCAAGCAAACACGCAAACGCACCTACGCAGAGATGCAACTGAACACACCACACACACCCAACAACAATCACGCATCCTCGCAGTTTGGGGAGCACATCGCTGGCTTACGCTTCTTCCTCCTGTTTATTCCCAAACGTGACGCTTCCCCCATCTGATGTCCATGTGGGGGAGATACCGCCATGGACAGATCTGTGCTTAGCCGTGCTAATGACTGCTTCCATCCATGGGCTCGCTCACTCACGCACCGATGAGCGTGAGCGCTCCGACGGAATGGATTTGCTGCCAGTTCCACAGGCACTCCTCATCCTTCTTGCTGCAATGCGGAGGCTTGGATAATAGCGCGAGGTGCCATTGTCTCCGAGAGACTCCTTTCCCGCCGCTGTTATCCTGCGCAAAGTCTCGTGCAGCGGGACACATTGACGCTCTCGGGAACGGAGGGAAGGTGACGCGCCAGTGTGGGGCCACGTCCAGCATCGTTCGGTTGTGAGTAAGGGGCCGTCCATAAATGACGTCACGCAGCTAGGGGGGGGGGGGGGTCAGACACTTGTGACGAGGTGGGAGGGGGGTGAGAAATGTGACGTCACATCAAAATGTGCAACGTTAAATAAATATAGACAATACGTTCTGCTTAATGAAATAGACTTTTTAATAAATGTTTTCTCCTACAACATCAGAGTGCAGCGCTACATTAAAGACGCACTACAATGACAATAGTTTAAAGCAATTTTAAGCATATTTTATTGGGGGGGGGGGGCAGAGCTTTGTGACGTCATATTTGAGGGGGGGGGGGTCTGACTTTTTGTGACGAAGGGGGGGAGGGGGGTCCAAAATCGTCCAAAATCGCGTGACGTCATTTATGGACGGGCCCTCAGCACATCGGTTCCAGAATCTCACCAAGCATTTTCTCGAGCAGCAGCTTCCGACCACACGTGTTGTTGTGTGGGCACGCCGGTCGGTCCCACACTCCCCCACCGCTTGCTTTGTCCATCCCTCTTTTGCCCCGAACTCACCAACAGCATCCCCTGGTTCTTCTTCTCCCAGTTGGGTTTGCAGCGGTCGTCCCGATCGACGTGGTCGCTGTCGCGCATGAATTTCGATGGACCTGGATTAAGTGCTCGTGGATTCATAACTCTGTAGAAGATTCCGTATGTTTGAGCCTATCTGCGTTGTGAGATGTCTTTGAGTCCAGCAATAACTCTGTGGTTCTTGTCTGTTGGACTGCCTCCAGGCCAGGGATGTCTTCCTTTTGTAGTTAAACTAAACTATATTTTAGTTTAACAGGTAGCGATAACTGAGTTATACAGTACAGAAAGCTATTTTTCAGAAGTGACCTGGTCACAAATGATAGCTCAACGAAGTGGCTCTAATCACGTGGGAGTTTAGGGCAACCATATACTTAAAACGCGTGTTTCTAAACGCGGAGGGAAAACCCGGAGGACCCTGAAGAAACGTCCACGCGACCACGAGGAGAGAGACACGCAAACTCTAAATATACAACCCACGACCTCCTGTATACCAGGCGACATAGTTAACATCTCGCCACATAATACTCCCAAGTAGGACCGTGCGTGCGCGTTGTATAGCCTTAGCATTGCATCCATACATTTATAGTAACCGCCACAACCAGTGATTTAAAGGGTATTAAACCCCTCTGTATCAATCCACCCTGCAGTATGAATAGTGGAGAGTATTTGATAATCGTGGATAGATTTCTGAATGCTATGTTGGCTGGCATTTGTAAATGTTTGGTGTGGAGGAGGATAGTCAGCCTAGATTACATTACTTGTACTGTAACTAGTATGGGCAGATGCATCACACTCTCATCACGTCAGTTTTAATTAGCCTGACAAAATACAGTGGGTGAAAAAATGCCGTGGGTCATGGGAAAATCTCCCCAATTAGTGGTGGGACTGGGCTGTTATCGAATTAAGGGTCTCTATTTCCTGGGAAATCTACGGAATGTTTTGTAAAGTCTGGTCCTGAGAACTGGCTTTGATACGAGTCGAGTTGTAGTCTTCACACATTCCTCCTCCTCCAACTCCCCACGATCCTGAGATGGGTGGGTAGTTCTTAAATTACACTTGAGTGTTGAGTAGTTGTATTTAGTTTTTTTTATCTGTAAGAGGATTTAACAATTTTTTATTTTACATTTTTGTTTGCTGTATTTATTATTTTTGCATTTTCTATTTTTTTTTAAAACACGTTGCTTTCAGCTGCAGCAGCGGTCTCTCTAACGCGTCTACATCGCTACGCTGGGACGTGCGGTATTGTATGTCTAGAACCTTGTGTCGCGTTTAGTACTCCAGCTGTCGTATCGTGTCTAGTAAACTGTGGAGTGGAGTGCTGTCAGTGGGATGAGGCGGTCTTCCTCGTGTGACCACGCCATCTGCGTGTCGGGCAGGGAATGGATTTTTGTGTGTCTTGCTCTCTCGCAAGCGCGCTATCAAACAGGCATAGAACGAGAGTTTTGTTAAGCACGGCGATATGTTCGGACTGTGAGAATCTCCCACACACGACAGCCTCCGTGTTAAACTGACGTGCGCCAAGTCTGTCCGTTCACTTCATCCGTCTGGCAGAAAGGGGATGAATCGTAGGCGGGAGTTTGACTTCTCTAATGGGGGAGGGGGGCGCGGAGGCAGAGGTTCGCTTTGTCCCCCACATTAGGAATCCCCGGTGCATCTCAGGGGCCGTCCATAAATGACGTCACCTAGGGGGGGGGCGGGGTCAGACATTTGTGACGATGTGTGACGAGGGGGGATTGGGGGTTTGAGAAATGTGACGTCACATCAAAATGCGCAACTTTAAATACATATAGACAACACGTTCTACTATGAGATCTCTTTTACCAGTGGCAAAATATAGTAGTAGGTTTTTACCCTTTTAGTCAGTTTTGTACCAGTTTAAAAGGGTAAAAACCTACTACTATATTTTGCCACTGGTAAAAGAGATCTCATAGTGTAAATGCTTACCCCGAGCTCTCAATACTCTGATATTGCACTGTGTTTGAGTTGTACGCCTTCTGGTGTCATCTGGTCCAACACCAATGGGGACTAGGCTCTAAAGAAAGCTGTCTCGGGTGTGGACCAATCAACTTCAAGGACAGTGCATATCATTATCAGAGTTGCTTATTTTTGTTTGCATTTTTGACAACACGTTCTACTTAATTAAATCGACTTTTTAATAAATGTTTTCTCCTACAACATCAGAGTGCAGCGCCACATTAAATACGCACTACAATGACAGTAGTTTAAAGCGATTTGAAGCATGTTTTATTTGGGGGGGGCAGTGCTTTGTGACGTCATATTTCAGGGGGGTGTCTGACTTTTTGTGACGCCGTGTGACGACCCCTAAGTAGTTATTTTTAACCTTCGTTATAAACAACTGAAAGTAAATTAATCAAGGTGCCCCCCCCCCGTGCCCCCCCCGTGCCCCCCCCCCCTGCAAACTTTGCCCATGGGAGAAGCCCTCGCACAGAAACGGTTGAAAACAAAGTGGACAGTTGAGTGAACAATTACGTGTTGGAACGTGTATTGTTGATGCTTTAAATGGGTGGGTGTGAAAGTGTAATTCTGTGGGGGGAAAGCCATGTTGTTTGTTAAAGTGTTTTATACTTTCCTTCATTTTTAATATTTTACGGCGTTTTACTTTTGCCCGGTCAATGATTTTGTCGACAGTGCCTCGTCATTCCACCTGGCTTCGAGCGAGCTCTCTTTGGTGCTGGGCATCGTTGAGACTTGGGTGGGTGTAGGTCTCGTGTGATTGAATGACATTCAATAAGAGGGAAGTAAAGCCTGTGAGTCAATCTCTTCCGGTGACTGTCCCCTACCTACTGGCATCGTGAAAGGGATTAGGAAGCCTTTAGCAGAGGAGTTACTCTATTTTTGTGCCAATATCAAAGTATGAAAAATAAAAATAGTTTTTTTTTTACCATTTCTGGCAATAATACAGGAGGTATTAAGATGTTCAAACACCAAATAGAAACTTTTTGCAAGGAATCAAGGCTGCATTAACCACACGCGTACTTGTGGCAAAAACATGCAAACGAACATGCTATGATAATTTTCTATGGGCATCGTCTTTGAAACTGATTGGCCTACACTAGAGACGGCCTTCTTCATGGCCCAGCCTCACTACCAGTGTCAGAGCAGAGAACGCCAAAAGGCGGACAGCACAAATACAATGCCACTATCAGAGCATAGATAGCTTGGGTTGAGCAGTTATATGAACAGTCTATCTATATATTTCATGGACATTTCCTAGTACTTATAGAACACAGCTGTTTGTGAGTGGGTCAATTCAAACCATGTTCCGAGAGGTAAAACATAAAAAAAACGTCTTCTGACTTTTGAAGTGGCGGAGTTCACAATTTTGATTGTGGCACATGACCTCAACTGGGCGACGTTAAGAGTCATGAAAGAGGTAAGAAAAAAAGTGGTTGCCTGATGGATATACTTAGCCTCTTCCGTGCCCTTTGGGTAGAAAATCACGTAGACTTTTATATATATATATAAAGTCAAACCTTCATTTTTACTTCAGTGTTTTTAACTTTGTATTCAGGGGGTTTTAAGATG